ACTTGTATGATTTTGGCCTTAGTTTCTGAAACTATAAAGTGGGGATTATGATAAAACCTATCTCAAAGGATTAGTGTCTATAAGGTGCTTAGCATAATAGTTGGCTGGTACAGAGTAAATACTCAATAATTAGTGTTGACTATTATTGTCTAGTTTACATTTGGGATGGATATTCCAGTATGACTTAATAAATATATACTTTAGAGTCCTGAAGTAAACAATCACTCATAACATCTTGAAATTCTGAGCAGGTGTGAAATATTGAGTTATGCAAATTTTTTAAAACTTTTTTTTATTTGATAAATAATTGCATATATTTAGAGTATAGAACTTTTTTTTTTTTTTTTTTTTTTTGAGACGGAGTCTGGCTCTGTCATTCAGGCCTGAATACAGTGGCACAATCTTGGCTCACTGCAGCCTCTGCCTCTTGGGCTCAAGCAATTCATCCATCTCAGCCTCTTGAGTAGCTGGAACTACAGGCATGTGCCACCACACTCGGCTAATTTTTGAATTTTTTGTAGAGACGAGGTTTCACCATGTTGTCCAGGCTTGTCTCGAACTCCTGAACTCCAGCAATCCGCCTGCCTTGGCCTCCCAAAGTGCTGGGATTACAGGTGTGTGCCACCATACCCAGCCTATTTATAGGGTATAATGTGATGTTTCACTGTCTGTTTACATTGTAGAATGATTAAATCAAGTTAATTATATCTATCACCTTACATATTTTTTTTTTTTGTGGTGAGAACATTTAAAATCTATTTTGAGCAATTTTGAAATATGCAATATATTATTATCATTAATTATAGTCACCATTCTGTGCAATAGGTCACCAAAGCTTATTTCTTCTAACTGAAACTTTGATTAACATCTTTGATTAACATCTTTCCTTTTCCCATCTACCTCTCTCCTCAGCCTCTGGTAACTACCATTCAACTCTCAACTTAGAGGAGAGTTCAACTTTTTTAGATTCTACATATAAGTGAGATCATGCAGTATTTGTGTTTCTGTGCCTGGCTTACAGTAATGTAAATTTTATTTTGGTTGCATAATATTCAGGGGAGAGAGGTGTTAATTTTAAAAATCACATTCACTAGTGCTTATATTTTATACTAATGCAATATCATGACCTGATTTAATCTCTAATGAGAATAGTATAGTGTTCTGCATAAAAGTGGAGTCCAGAGAAATTGTTCAGAAATAAATTTGGGCCTAACCATGACTGAGGCTTGCTGCATCTGTGGCACCTCAGAAAAGTCTGGAATGTCTTATGAGAGTGGGCTATACAGTTACCCAATTTTTGCTGGACATTTAAATGATATCATTAGCTATTTGATGTTTATTGCAACACTAGATAAAGCTTTAAAAACATTTTTATGTTTAGGAGCCAAATATTCCAACCAGGGAGACAGTTTTGGTTATTTAGTGGTTAAGTGAATGGGCTTTGGAACCAGAAGGATACGGGTTCAAATTCCACCTTTATAATTACTAATAGAGCTGTTGAAAGGATTAGTTGAATTAGGCATGAAATGTATTAATGAAATGTAATGTATCATAGCAAATGCTCATTCACTCATTCATTCAGTAAATAAATAATAATGGCACATTTACCATGTGACAGGCAGTGGTCTGGGTGCCGCTGATACAGCAAGATCAAGATCTGGAAAGTCCGTGCTCACAGGGAGCTTGCATTTTAGTGGAGAGAGCCAGAAATACACCAATAAAAAAGTGTTAATAAGTGCTATGAAGAATTAAAAAAAAAACAGGCCAGGCGCGGTGGCTCACGTCTGTAATCCCACCACTTTGGGAGGCTGAGGCAGGCAAATCATGAGGTCAGGAGTTCGAGACCAGCCTGGCCAACATGGTGAAATCCTGTCACTACTAAAAATACAAAATTTAGCCAGGCGTGGTGGTGCACGCCTGTAATCCTAGCTACTCAGGAGGCTGAGGCAGGAGAATTACTTGAACCCACGAGGTGGAGGTTGCAGTGAGCTGAGATCACGCCACTGCACTCCAGCCTGGGTGACAGAGTGAGACTCTGTCTCAGAAAAAAAAAAAAAAAAAAAGTAAGGAATAGGAAGGTTTAGGGATGCTAATATCCCTAGCCAGGGAGTAAATGTCAGCTATCATCATCATCGTCATTTCATTAGCTACATTTCTAATCCTATTTTGCCAAGAGAAGAGAGAAAAATCGGACAAGTGAGAGGAAAGGGAGAAAGGGCAAAGGGCAGTAAAGGAAGGCTAAGCAGGGAAAGAGGGAGGAATAGAGAGTGCATTGAACAGGATGACGAATAAGAAAACCAACAAGGAGAAGGAAGGTAAGAGGAGACAGCAGGGACAGTTGCTTGTCTTATAAACTGGTGGTGGTGGTGGAGTTGGTGGTGGTGGTGGGGGGTGTTATTTGAAGGAAAGACAGAATGGAACTCAGAGAAAATGATATTGTTCTTTAACTGCTCAGTGGACTTTAAAATGTTTCGTTTTAGGGGCTTTCAGGACATTTTTCTGAGGGCAGGGTTGGCAACATAATTTGTGGGGCCCAGGGCAAAATGAAAATGTAGATTCCTTTTTCAAAAATCATTAAGAATTACAAGATGGTGATGACAGAGTATTAAATCAAAGGCAACTGTGTAGGTCACACACCATGAGCCAGCCCTGTCTGAGAGCAAGTACACAACAAACATTTAATAAAAATAGTTGTTGAATGAACAAAACCCGGGGCTAGTTGCTTTTGAACTCCTCTGAGGACTGGCCCGTATTTTAGAAAAAAACTGATTTTATTTGGCTTCAATTTCAAATTTCCTTCTATTGTTCTCCACCGTGGGGTCCAGATCTTTATGGAACAGCCGATTCCTGCACAGGGTTTTACAGCCGGCATCCTCCCAGACCAGCTGGGCTTTGTTTATTCTCTTGCACTTACACAGTGTGGGGTCACCACAACAAAAAGGCAGAAGCTGGAGGAGGGCCCTTGTGACGGTGGACATCTGAAACGAGTGGTTAAAAGCCGCGGGGAAGGATTAGTTTATCAGAGCCAATGTATAAAGACTGTTTGTACTTTACATTTTGATACAGTTCTATAATTCTATAACAAGAGCTCTAAAACTCTTTAAGAAACATTTGAATGATGCGAAGTTTTGAGAGGATAATGATAGGGTTCCCAGGGGTGAGGAGGGGAATCTTTTTGTAGATGTGTACCCTACCTCCAAAAACATGCATTTGGCCGGGCGTGGTGGCTCACGCCTGTAATGCCAGCACTTTGGGAGGCCGAGGCGGGCGGATCACGAGGTCAGGAGATTGAGACCATCCTGGCCAACATGGTGAAACTCTATCTCTACTAAAATACAAAAAATTAGCTGGGTGGGCTGGCGCGGTGGCTCATGTCTGTAATCCAAGCACTTCTGGAGGCCGAGGTGGGTGGATCACGAGGTCAGGAGTTCAAGACCAGCCTGGCCAAGATGGTGAAACCCCATCTCTAGGCCGGGCGTGGTGGCTCAAGCCTGTAATCCCAGCACTTTGGGAGGCCGAGGCGGGTGGATCACGAGGTCAGGAGATCGAGACTATCCTGGCTAACATGGTGAAACCCTGTCTCTACTAAAAATACAAAAAACTAGCCGGGCGTGGTGGCGGGCGCCTGTAGTCTCAGCTACTTGGGAGGCTGAGGCGGGAGAATGGCGTGAACCCGGGAGGCGGAGCTTGCAGTGAGCCGAGATCAGGCCACTGCACTCCAGCCTGGGAGACACAGCGAGACTCCGTCTCAAAAAAAAAAAAAAAAAAAAAAAAAGAAACCCTATCTCTACTAAAAATACAAAAATTAGCTGGGCCTTGTGGCTGGTGCCTGTAATCCCAGCTACTCGGGAGGCTGAGGCAGAGAACTGCTTGAACCTTGGAGTCGGAGGCTGCAGTGAGCCGAGACCGCACCACTGTACTCCAGCCTGGGCAACAGAGCGAGACTCTGTTTAAAAAAAAAAAAAAATAGCTGGGTGTGGTGGCACATGCCTGTAGTCCCAGCTACTCAGAAGGCTGAGGCAGGGGAATCACTTGAATTTGGAAGGCGGAGGTTGCAGTGAGCCGAGATCGCGTCACTGCACTCCAGCCTGGTGACACAGCAAGACAGCGTCTCAAAAGAAAAAAAGGAAAAAGAAAAACATGTCATTTACAACATTAAGCTTAATACGAGAAGTAGTCGCATGTCGATCATTCACTTACTAATTGAGCCCCTACTATATGCAAGGCACTGGGCTGGACAGTGAACGATACAGGCATCGTCCCTGTGCTTGACGTAGGAGCAGTTCCTGGAAATGGAGACAGACTCAGTGATTTGTTCACCACCATGATATGTGCTTCCAAGGATGAGTGAGCACTGCCCCCAAGACAACGAAAGGCGCTTGCCTTAAAAGCACAGGATCCAGAGGGTTCACTAAAGTGGGTCTGGAACCAAGAATCCAACCCAAAGACACGTTCCTGTTTCCCTCTCTACAAAAGTAGGAAACATATTTCAGGTGGTTTACACCCACCAAGCATGCAGAAAACCCTGATACACAATCAGGTTATTTTTTTTTAATGATTAGAAAAAAGAACATTTATGTGTCTGGTTTTTATTTTTATTTTATCAAAGAGGAGGCTAAAATGCTGGGCTCTCTGGCTTACTAGCAAATGCCTGATAACCCTAGTCACCAAGGCTAATGTTGACTGAGCTCTAGGCTAAACATTACACATATATTACCTTCTTTAATCCTCACACAATTTGGTAAGCTAGGGATTCTTATTGTCCTTAATTCACACTTGAAGAAGCTGAGGCTTAGTCAAGTTAAGTAACATCCCGAGGCCTAGCATCTAGTAAGAGATGAGTTGGAATTTGAACTCAAGTAGTTAAATGCCAGACCAGAGCAGTTGCACTCTACAACCTCATTCTGAGGGAGGCGCTTTCCCAAGACAGGTCATTAGTCTGTAGATAAATGATGCAAAGATAAGTTGCTAATGACTAAGAGTTTATTTACAAGTCAAATCCTTACTTTGCCAATTAGTTTTATACTGGACACAAAATGCATCTCCTGCTCTGCTGGTCTTCCTAGTGTATCTTTCTTCTTCCAGGAGTCCTGAAAAGAGATTTTGGATTGATCTCTGGAAGTCAATATCCACTGCCAAAAAATAATTCCACATGCATCTGCAATCTACCTGTCTGTGCCCTGCTACTCCATAACCTTCTTAGTGCAGACATTAAATCATTCACTCCTAGGGGCTGGGCGTGGTGGCTCATGCTTGTAATCCCAGCACTTCAGGAGGCCGAATCAGGGTGATGACTTGAGGGAAGGAGTGGGAGACCAGCCTGGCCAACATGACGAAACCCCGTCTCTACTAAAAATACAAAAATTAGCTGGACGTGGTGGCTTGCACCTGTAATCCAAGCTACTCAGGAGGCTGAGCAGGAGAATCGCTTGAACCCGGGAGGCAGAGGTTGCAGTGAGCCAAGATCGTGCCACTGCACTCCAGCCTGGGCAACAGAGAGAGACTCCATCTTAAAAAACAAACAAACAAACAAAAACCATTTATCCTTTGGATGGGCTTCCCCCACCCCACATTTATATATTTGATATATCTATGTCCATGATTAAAATTAGGGCTGGGCGTGGTGGCTCACGCCTGTAATCCCAACACTTTAGGAGGCTGAGGCCGGCACATCACCTGAGGTTGGGAGTTTGAGACCAGCCTGACCAACATGGAGAAACCCCGTCTCTACTAAAAATACAAAATTAGCTGGGCGTGGTGGCACATGCCTGTAATCCCAGCTACTCGGGAGGCTGAGGCAGGAGAAACGCTTGAACCCAGGAAGCGGAGGCTGCAGTTAGCCAAGATCACGCCATTGTTACCCAACCTGGGTAACAAAAGCAAAACTCCGTCTCAAAAAAACCAACCGAACAAACAAAACAAATGTACAGTTAGTTATTTAGGACATTTAACTTTGAATTCTTAGCTAAAACCTCCCGGTACTCACGGAACTGTCAGAAGTCTCAGAGGGAACCAGCAAAAACTGTTTCAGAAGGAGAAGTGGTAAATGGACTTCCTTCCATGTTCACTTGAATTTCGGGGAAGATACTGCTGCTTATGTTGAAGTAATCTCTCTGGGCAGGTGTTGAAACAGGCCTGGCCTGAGGAGTGCCTAAGCAGGGCTGGTTTCCCAGAGCAGGGGTACACTTGGAGCTGGCTTTGGAATAAAAGATATCAGGACAGGTGAAGAAAAGGCAGAAAGTTCTAGGTAGGGAATGATCAGGAAAGTAATGCTCCAGCTGGAGACACTGGTCAAATAGGAAGCCGGCCTGTGCCACATGCCCTGCTCTCCTCATCTTGCTCGCTATCATAGTTCACTGCAGCCTCGAACTCCTGGGCTCAAGTGATCCTCCCACCTCAGCCTCCCAAAGGTCTGGGATTATAGGTGTGAGCCACTGTGCTTGAGCTAAGATAAGTTCTTAAGAGGGGAAAATAACCTTTTGAAAATTGAAACTGAGACATAAAAAAATGAAGACAAACTTTGTCCCCTCCCACAAAGAGAATGAAAAGCTAGGTCTCTCTGCAGGAAATGGAAGACTATCTTAGCTCAATGGATGTGTATAGCCGGAATCCATTGCTCTGAAGATTCCAGATTAATAGGAAGGTGGGCATTAGCAATGTTTTACAGGGCCCTTCCTAAGTTTGGTAGGCAGTGGGTCCCACTGATGCTCACATTCTAATCCCTGGAACCTGTGAATATGTTATTTTTACATGACAAAGGGGATGTTGCATATGTGATTAAAGTTAAGGACCCTGAGATGGAAGATTATCCTGGATTAAATGGTTGGGTCCACTCTAATCATATGGGTCCTTAAAAACTGAGCATCTTTTCTAGCCTAAGTCAGAGTCAGAGGAAGATGTGACCACAGAAGAATGATCAGAGAGATGCTATTAGATTTGAAGATGGATGAAGGGGGCCATGAGCCAAGGAATGTGGGTGGCCTCCAGAAGCTGGAAAAGGCAAAGATATTCTCCTGCAGGGTCTCAGGCAAGGAACACAGACATGCTGACACCTTGATTTTTAGCCCAGTGAGACCTGTGACAGACTTCTAACGTACAGAACTGTAAGATAATATATCTGAGTCATTTTAAGCTAGTCAATCTGTAGTGATTTGTTATAGCAACAATGGAAAACTCATACACCATAGGACAGCAATATGAGGTAGACACTGCTATTGTCATTTACAGTCATTTAACTGACATAGAACTAGGTTCTTGCCCAATGTTACATAGCTGTCAAGTGATATTTATCCAAGAATTAATGTCTTCAGACACTGGTCTTCAGAGCTCATGCTCTATTATACAAAACCACCTCCCAGGATGTTTGTGGGGAGGAGGCTGGAGGTAGGTTTCGAGTAAAAGCTCACTGAGGGTGAGTGAGTTACACAGCTGGATAAAGAGCTGGTTGACTCAAAGGGAAGCTTTTCAAAGCCCTGGATTAATGTAGAGCAGAAAGTAGTTGTTCCTCAGGCTAGGTTTACATTCTGTTCCTGTTTAGTCTTCCTTCCTCCCTGCTTTGATCATGACAAACTGGTTTACTCAGTGTCCCACAAACATGTCATTAAGCAGGACTTTTTTCTACACTGATACTTTTGTCCAAGCCTCCTTGCCTTCTCTCTCCCACCTCCCTGCTGCTAACCCCCTTTCAAGAGCTCTCACCCCTCCTCAACCCAGCTACCCTGACCTGGGGGCACTGGGATTCAGGGACTTTGGCATGAATCACACATCGCCCTGGGCTTTTTTTTTTTTTCCAGTATCTTTGCCATCAAGTGCCTTAATTTCTCGTCATTTCATTTTTCTGTCGCTTATAATTTATTTCCAAGTTGACTGGCCACTGGTGGACTTCTTGCAGGTGAGGACATGAATCCACCTGGAGCGGTCTTCATGGTCAACTGGGATCTTTATTCGTTCCTAAAATAAATCTTACTATCACACGCAATTTTGCTTTTCGTGAGCGCATGTGTTCCTTTCTCTGATTGCCCACAACGCAGAGTACATCAGGCCCTTGTTAAATGTCCCCGTGGCTCTTATTACAGAGGAAGGGTGATGATCTGAGTGTCCACCTCGCTGACTACTACGGTATCCCCAGCGTGTGGCACAGGGTGTGGCACGCACAGAAGACAAGAATATATGTTAAAGCCCAAAGGCCGGGACTAGACGCCCAGGAGGGGCTGGCCGCGAGGGAGAGCAGGAGGCCAGCTGGGTACCCGGCAGCCGCCCGCAGCCCCCACTCACTCCCGCAGGTGCGGGGGCGGGAGCCGGGTAGCGCGCCTCCCGCCCGGCGTTCCGCGCGCCCCTCAGCCGCCGACTCTCGCGCCCCGCCCCCGCCCCGCCCCTCCGCGCTCGCGCCACCTGGCGCTCGCCCCCGTCGTTCCCGCGGCGCCGCGCCTCTCCGGTTCCTCAGCTTCCAGCCAAAATGGCGGAGAGCAGCGAGGGTCTGGGCACCGTCCCCGAGCACGAGCGGATCTTGCAGGAGATCGAGAGCACCGACACCGCCTGCGTGGGGCCCACCCTCCGGTAAAGATCTCATCCCCCAAGGACTTCGGCTCCCCGCCCTGCGCCGGCTGCTCCTCAGGAGCCGGGCGGGGCGTCTGCCGCCGGCCGCGCGCGAAGCTCCCCGACAGGTGGTGCGCGCGGGGGCGGACGGGGGCGCTCGCGGGTGGCGGAACTCTAGCCCGGACCCGGGCGGGACCGAGAAGGCGGCTGCACCTGTCGGCGCGGCCTGCCTCCGCCTCTGGAGCTGTCACCCCGCAGCCGGTGGGTGTGGCTGCCGCAGCGTCTCTAACCCCGGGCGCCGCGGTGCGGCCCCGCGTTCTTCCCCTGGCTGCAGCCCCAGGGCCCGAGGACACTCCTGGGGCCTGGCCCCGTCTCGCTCGTGGCAGGACTGAGGGCTGCTCGGCCGCGGGCGTGCCAGGCTAGGGTCGACAGCCGGCAGTCGGCGTGTCGGAGGTGGCAGGTCGCGCGCGGGTGGAAAGCCTGGTGCGCCAGGCTGCCACGGGCGTGGGAGAATTGAAATTGAGCGGGAGACGCCGGCCCCTTACCCCTGCTCCCCCGCGCGGCCGGAGTGGGCGAGAAGAGCGCGTGGGCTGGAGGGGAGGAGCTGCTTGCTGCTTGGGAACGCCCTAGGGTGACCCTGCACTCGCGGGATCTAAGCTGCTTTGGAGGCAGAACAGCTTTTACTTATTTACAAACATTTCATTAAAATTGCATTAATTGTTACGGTTATTTTAAATCGAGTTCCTCCTCATTCATTTTAAGAGTAGTACTAGGTAATGCATATTCCATGCCAGACTGAATGAATACCTGCTGTTCCGATAGAATATTATTAGCCAGGCACCGTAATGAGCCATGGGTTAGGTTAGGCACTGTCTTCAAGAATAAGTTCCTTTTACATATAAGGTTTCATCTTTTGGAGTGATGATATGATAAATGAAGTTATGATTCACTTACGGAACTTGAGACTGATTATGCTTTATCATTAGTATTTATTCGGAATACTCTTCCTAGAAATAGAGCGCTGTACAGTTTGTGAACCGGTGAATGTAGTGTAAATTGAAGCCAGTTCAAGTTATGTAAATACACCTTGCCCTTAAGAGTCAGGAGGCCTGGGTTCTTGTTTTGCCCTAGTCCTGCCACTGATGAAATGTGCAGTCATGGAAAAAAATTATTTAACCTCTCTGGATCTCGGTTTCGTTGTTTGTAGAATGGGGAGGGGAGAGTATTCAGATGTCCAGGAAGCTCAGAACATTAGGGACCTTGCCTATTTGTTCACTGCTGTATCCCTAAGACCAAGCATGTGGTAGGAATGTTACAAATTTTTGTTACATAAAGTTTCTGCTATGATATGATAATGCATAATTAGTGCATTTCCTTAATTTTCCAACATTATTATGTCTTTTAATAAACTATACTTGGTAATGAAAGAAGTAAGATTAAAAGGAAGCTTTGTTTTCATCACTGCATCTTGAAACAGTGCAGTGCGTGATAAAGTTACTAGAGTAGTTTATTTGTGAAGATAGTACTGGTTATGAAAGAGGTGCTTCATCTTGGGAAAATGTGCTAGGTAGTGTCCTTGAAAAAAGATGAAATTAACTTAGAAGAACATTTTGAGATATATTGAGAGATTTTTGGGACACTCAGGAACAGAGTATTTGTATTCATAGTGTTATTCCGTTCTCTTTTGTTGGGCAGTTGTTTCAACTGGCTCATTTTGTTTGAACCCACTCTCTTTAGCAAACTCTAGTGACTCACACTTATCCCATATATATGTATATTTATGTCTCATTTATAAGCAGACGCTTTTTGCACACATATAGAGGGTACTGCTAGCAGTCTTTTCTCTTGAACATTGTTTAAGCTACTACTGTTTTTTTCCCTGTATTTTTTTTTTCAGGTTTTACTAAGTGAAGTGTTAATACTGCATTTTAAAAACCATTTATTATGGAAGCATTTTAAATGTTTAAAGAAGTAAAATAGTGTAATGAACCACCATGAACGGTCATCTAGCTTCAATTCATTCCCTGGCCAGTCTTGTTTGAGCTTTTCCCTTATCTACTCCCCCTCATCTTGGATTATTTTGAAGGAAATCCAAGACATCAATTTATTCATAAATATTTTAGTATTAAGATTAATTTTTGTTGTTATTTCCTATCTTTTAGCTGGCCTGAGACTTATTTTATTTATATTGTTTTTTCTCAGCGGCAGGATTTTTCAGCCTGACCTTTTCCTGAGAAGCATGTGATAAACTTTCCACAGGCCCTGACAAATAACATGGTTCTTTGACCACAACAGAAGTATATTAGAAATCAATAGTAAAAACGAAAACAAAAACTATCTGGAAAATTCCCAAATATTTGGTCATTGACTAACACACAAAAAAAATAAATCAAAAGGGAAATTAGAAAGTATTTTAAACTGAGTAAAATGAAAACACAACATATCATTTGTGAATGCAGCTGAAGAAATACTTAGAAGTTTATGGCACCAAACACCTCTACTAGAAAAGAATGGCTTCAGCTTCTAACCTAAGAAACTAGGAAAAGAAGAGTATATGAAATTCAGAAGAGTGGAAGAAAGGAGATGGTAAAGATCAGAGTGGAATTCAGTGAGACAGAAATGCAGAAAATCAGTGTTATTGTAATAGCACAAAAAAAGGGAAAGAAGGAATATAGCTATATAAGAGTAACATTTCTATATTTTACTGGATGAGAATAATTCTGAAGTAGATTCTGAGAGCAACCACTAAGAAATAACTTTTTTCTAAATTCCAGAAAAAAATCACTAATTAAGATATTTGCTTAATGCAAAAGAAGCAGTAAAGGAATAGAGGAGCAAAAAAAAAAAAAAAAAAAATGAGACATAGAACACAAGATGTGAATCCAACTATATAAATAATAACATTAAATATGAATAGAGTAAACAATCAAAAGGCATAGGTCCTCAAACTGGATAAAAATAATATCCAAAGATGTGTTATCTACAAGAGATACATTTTAGATTTAATGACAAACATAGGGTAAAAGTAAACAGAAAAACATGTATCATGAAAAGAGCAACCATAAGAAAGCTGCAGTAGCTATACTAATATCTGACATAACAGACTTTAAAACAAGTCTAGAAATAAAGGATATTTTATGATGGCAAATGGTCAATCAATAAGGAATATATAAAGTATAAACATATGTGCGTCTAACAACAGAGTCTGAAAAGACATAAAAACTACCCATCATTCAATAATGGATAGAACAACTAAGCAGAAGACCAAAAGGGAGCAGGAGACTTGAACAATACTCTTAAGCTAATTAGACCTACCAGACCTCCATAGAATACTCCCTCCAACAACAGTAGGATACACAAGGGAACATGGAACATTATCCAGTACAGACTATGTTAGGCAATAAAATAAGCCTCAATAAACTTAAAATAAACTGAAACCATACAAATTATTATCTCTGACTGCAATGGAATTAAATTAGAAATTAATAACAGAAGGACATTTTAGAAATTCACAAATATGTTGAAATTAAGCACATTTCTAAATAACTAGTGAATCAAAGAGGAAATAATAAGGAAAATTAAAGATATTTTGAAGAAAGGTAAATGAAAACATACAATGCCAAAAATGTTTAGATGAAGCCAATGCTGTTCTTAGAGAAAAATTTATAGCTGTAAAAACCAATATTAAAAAATAAGAAAAATCTCAAATTAATAACCCAAACTTCCATCATAAGGTTGGGTTCCATCATAATGAAAAAGAGAGCAACCTAACCCAAAACAAGGAGAAGAAAGAAAGTAATAAAGATTAGATCAGATGTAAATGTAAGAGAAAAACAACAGAGAGGCCAGGGGCACTGGCTCACACCTGCAATCCCAGAAATTTGGGAAGCAAATGCAGGCGGATCACCTGAGGTCAGGAGTTCAAGACCAGCCTGGCCAACATGGCAAACCCCGTCTCTACTAAAAATATAAAAATTAGCCAGGCATGGTGGCGTGTGCCTGTAATCCTAGCTACTTGAGAGGCTGAAACAGTAGAATCGCTTGAACCCAGGAGGCCGAGGTTGCAGCGAGCCAAGATTGCGCTACTGCACTGCAGCCTGGGCAACAGCGCGAGACTCCATCTCAAAAAAAAAAAAAAAAAAAAGAAAAAACAAAAACAATATACAAAAAAAAATCAATAAAACAGAGTTGGTTCTCTGAAAAGATCAACAAAAGTGACAAACCTTTCGCTAGAATGACCAAGAAAAAAACAAAGACTCAAATTACTCAATTCAAGAACAAGAGAGAACGTTACAGAACTAAAAATAAGAAAAAGTTAGGAACAATTTTATGTCAACAACTAAAACAATCTAAATGAAACACAACAAATTCCTAGAAAAACACAAACTATCAAAAGTAATTCAGATTTTCTATTTTTCTTTGAGGAGTTCTTTGGAGCTCTTTGTACTTACCTTCTGCCTCACCCCCGATTATAATCCTTGAGCCACTGCTCTAGATCTGCGGGCACGAACAGTGGCCTTCCTCTTTTGGAGTGATATCCTTGCTTTAAGAGCATGGTGCTGGGTGAGATGGCAGTCTCTGGTCTTGGCTTGCCTCTCTCAGTGTGGAGCCTCTCTGGTATGAGCAGGCCGAGGTGAGGGCAGCTGGGTCCCCAATATCGGTGGTTGTTATTACTGTGGTATAGCTTCTGTTCTATGACATCCTCCAGGGGCTGGGTGGATGAAGGAGGACTGGTTGGAAGAATGGAGCCCTTATTCTCTCTGCCACACTCACCTTGTTTTTTGGTTCTGCAACACAGTTGGGGTAGGGGTAAGAAATTCTGAATGCCTGCCCTTTCTTTGGCTCTTGACTGAAACCCTGCTGGGAAAGAGAGCCCCACCTTCTTAGCCACTCCCACCTGGGTAGATCTGTCACCTGAACAGGTGGTTGGGAAAAGGTGGTTGTGGGTCATGGGTCAAGGGCCACAAACTCTTACTGTTCTTACCAAGTATGCAGTAGATTTTCTTGGATAAATGTTTCTTCTTTTGCCGTATGCTCTTACGACAATTTTCAGAAATTCAAATGGTGTTTCTAAAAATAATTTTCATTAGTTAGAGTTGTTTCATTAGGGAACGGTTTGTGGAATTAGGGTTGTTTCATTAAGGAACAGGTTTGTGGAATTAGGGTTGTTTCGTTAGGGAACAGGTTTGTGGATATCCTCACACTGTTATTGCAGAAGTGTATCCCCCTCAAATATTATTCTTGTTTTATTTTTTTTCCTAAATAGAGTTAACATCAATGTAAAAAAAAAGCCATTTTAAAATGTGTATTTCAGTGACATTTAGTACATTCAGAGTGCTGTGCAGCCATCGTCTCTATCTAGTTTTAAAACATTTTTCATCATTACAGAAAGAAACCTTGTACACATTAAATAGTCACTCTTCATTTTCTCTCTTCTTCTAGCCCCTGGCAACCAGTTTTCTGCTTTCTGTACTATGATTTTACCTATTTTGGATATTTCATGTAATAGAAGAATATAATATGTGGTTTTTGTGTGTGTCTGGCTTCTTCCACTTTAGCATGCTCATCTATATTGT